TTTAAAATATCAATAATTGCGAAGTAAAACTGAAACTTGTTATTTTGACGAATGCAGTAGTTCTGATGTTTAACTCTTTCCTTCCTGAATATGTATGTTTTTTAGTATGAATTTTTGGAAAAAAGACTTATGCCTGCGGACTGATCAGCCAAAACACTTAAGATGTCAACCACAAGCAAAGATGCCCGTGTGGTACAATTTTCCTTTATCTTTAAGGCGTTTTCTAGCTTTTCGGTAATTCAAAATGTTCGTGGTACCTATATGTACCATTCAGGACGAAAGGATTAACTGACTTTTTAATTTCTCTTTGTAGAAGCTATCAGCATCCTTAATTAAGATTGCAACTGGTTTACATTACAGTTTGGATATTTTTAAATTATTTTCTTCAGTAATTTCTCAATGAAATATGCGTACCTTTTTAATCATTGTAAAGTAGGAAATGAGAGATGTGTCCGCGAGATTCGGTAAAAAAAAACTTCTAGGAAAATATTATAGTGGTTACTATTATTAGATATTGAAAATGTGGATCTTCAGTAAAAAGAGAATTAGGAAACAATATATATGTATTTAATGAGATAAAGAAACAATATGGACAACACGTAAAAATACAACACACGACTCTCTATCACGCATCAAAAATGTTCTTCTCCGCTGTCGCTGACCAAAATGTCCTCATGCACGCATTTCCACTCGCTTTTAACACACACCCCCATTCGCTCTGTCTTTCTCACCCTTGCACCCTTCTCACTCGCATCTTTCGTCCATAGTCAAAATTCACGCAGTCACGTACACGCTTTTCTCACGGTCCAGTCGCTCAGTTTCAGACACTCTTCCTCGCATTCTTTCAGCCACTCGAGATTGTCTAAACACAGTCACACTATTTTCCAAACATCCCGGCGCCGGTCCGTCGCAATACGACCTGGTCGCCCTTACGCACGCACAACAAACCATTCATTCTACAATAAATATTCTAGATACTACAATATATTTCCTGGCCGCGTAAATCAAGATCGCACGTAAAAACTATCGTGTAAATCGTGTTTTACATTACCGAGTAAAACAGAGCCTCGCGCAAAAGACGTCCAGGTAAATCAAGGGTCAAATAGTCAAGGGTTTTACAGCGGAATAGTACTAGTTAGGTAAACCTTTTCGTCTAGAATGGTACAAACACGAACATTTTAAATTACCGAAAAACTATAAAACGCCTTAAAGATAAAGGAAAATTGTACCACACGGAGATCTTTGCTTACGGTTGACAGCTTAACATATTATTGACCGGCAATTTTACGCGGAAACTATCCTATGTCACCACTTATTATTCCATAATTAAATGTGAAAGTGGAAAAATCTAAATAAACTTCAATATACTTTATTTCTATACGTGAATTGAAATCAAACTTTGAACAAATCTTCTATTGTACATAACGTGTAATATTTTACTTTTGCAATATTCTATATTGCCCTGCGTTTCAAAAATTGAAATAACTGATGCAAGTGCATACACGAGTTAACACGTGACTGGTCAACACTGTATTAAATGCTAATTATTATTATTGTTAGTGCTTATTCTATTTCCTTAACTGAAAAGCTTCAATTTCACTTGAAAGCAACTGTTCTTGGCTCTGTTTTTGATTTAGGAGAAAAATACATATTCAGAGACGAAAGGGTTAAGAGTTTATTCTGCTGTTTCACCACAGAACCAAGTGGTTAGTAAAGTGAAGAGGAAAACATTGGACAGAAGAGAAAAGGAAGACCGAGACTGAAATTTCCGTGAGACTCTCAAAGATTAACGGCGTTGATTAGCTCGGATCTTCCACTAATCTCGTGATTACTATCGTTCCATATCTATAGAACCTGTTGCATGCTATATGCGTGCGTTACGATGTTCGTTAGTTGTCATGTTAGCCGATACATGAAGTGAACGTATATTTAATCGCGCATCGGTAACGGGAATTTTCATTGTTGGACCGCAAAACTTAAAATCATAAAAAATTGTGCGATACAAATAACTGTTGTTTATAACAACTATAACATTAAATGATAGAGTATCATAGACTATATTCCACGATTTCGATGAAATTTATATGCAAGACAGTTCTCGAAAAAATATTCGAATATTTTAGTTTTGTTCATTTTATTCGTTTTTAAAGTGTTTTTACACATTAAAATTTGAAAATATAGTTCTCAGGGTGTCACGGAAACTTGTAAGTATAGGAAACAAGTTATGCTTTGATGAATATATGTTTTTTGAACTTATTTGTGAACTTTCAGTGAACTTCTTTTTTGTATGTGTGAAAGTCCAACTGTAAATGATTTGTAATTGTTTATCGAGGATGAATATATACAACATTACTTTAAAAAAGTGGAAAACGTGATAGAACCTATGGAATAATCGCGGTAGAATGTTCACGAATGAGCCACAGATGTATGACTACATTATGACGGAAGTTGAGTTTCCAATCAACTGTTAATATCCGGAAGCGAAGGTAGAACACTCATTGGCAAAAGGCTGAAGACCTTTTCCTTCACGTTTCTATTATTACATGGTATCTAATACTGTGGGAGAATTTATCTAAACACAAAGATTTTGCTGTTATCAATATTTTACCTTCAAATTAAATATACATTGAACCGAAAATTTCTTGTTAATTTTGTAAATGATTAATAAAATAAATTTACCAAATAAATTATTAATAATATAAATCTAACAATTAATAAATCTATATTGTTATTCTTGTGTTCATATAATATAAATTTAACAACCATAGTCACGAAGAAAATCGTATAGTAAAAGATTAACACCTAGATCAAATTCATATAACGAAATGATAAAACGAGAAATACAATATTAACCTCTTGCCCTATGATTTATTTCTCAAGCATGATAGATACAATTAGTTTGGCATTAATAATTTATTGGAAAGAAAACAAAATTCTACACATATTCTTTGTCTACGTCTGCTCCAGAGCATTGTAATTAACAACAAACCAATAATATTCCATTTTAATTCAAAGAAATCAAATAATATTTACTGCTAAATTCTGTTTAAAATCTTCACCACGAGTCTGACACGTCAATATAAGGCAAAGGGTTAAACATTTGTCATCCAACGTTCAACCTAGTCCACAATACAATTCACATTTTCAACTTCGAACATCTCTGTTCATAATAAAAACAACCCCATAAACAAACAACCCTCCAAATTTCCGTATACATTATCTTTTTCTTCCTATTTCGTCCTATAAAAGAATCACAAAAGTTAATCCTTCAAGTGTGAAACACCGTGTATAAACAGCGATTCAATGCCGTAGCACAAGGCGCGAAGTGTATTCGATCAAATCACTCGCGTGATTCAATGATTTACACATTCATCAAAGTCGCGCACGGCCACAGTCACCGGTGCGGTAATTGCGCCCGGTAATCTTAATTTATATGCGTGCCATTAGCCTATTCGCGCAACCGGCGCGGCAGATCGTCTCGGTTTCCTGTTTTACAACCACGCACCTATGTACAACGCGTTTCTCCTGGCCCCATCGCAACGACCAATTCGCTTCGCAACTCCAGAGAAATGAAAAGTGAGCAAACCTATCTGAAAGCGCGACGAGTAATTAAACGTCATTCGCACGCCTACTAGAAGCGCGCGGTTATTTTCATTGCTTTCGCTCTTTATCAATCTTTATGACCCCGTTTCATGCTCGTTTATACGGTCCGCTGGATTCGTATCTATAAATATCGTCATGCTCATATCACTGTTTGCTCGGGTGTACGCGGAAAGCGTATTGAACAGCGAACAATTTGATATTTCGATTATACGGTGGAACGACTCTCGCATTGTATCATGGGAAATTTTATGGTAATTGACGTTACGAGCGGGATGAAGGGATGATTTTACATGGGAAAATAAGCTAAGAACGTGGGGTACAGGGTTTTTTCATTTCAAATATTGGTTTTTGAGAATGTCGAGGACGAATGTTTGCCAAAACCATACACGTGTGTATTTAACATTAGGGTTACCGAGCATTTAATACGATTAATATGTAATCCCTATAAATATTGTGACAATATTGAAAAAAATGAAAATGAAATTTGAAAAATCGAAAATGAAAGAATTTTCGATTTCTTCAGATATTCATTATAGTATACAAGTGAAACTATTTATTTTCAAGATCATTTCGAATATTTAATGCTTTGAAGATATCAGTAATTGCGAAACCAAAAACCTAAACCAATCATTTTGACTGGTACGATAGTGTTAATATTGTGTAGTTACGTATTATACGGACCAACTTTGTTTCCTAACTGAGGGATGGTCAATTGGGTTAGGTTTGGATTAGTATTTATTTAAACCTGTTAGGGACGAATTTCTTTTCGTGACTATAAAAAAATGTATGTTTTATAAAATTAAAAAATATCAATTTCTAATTACAAATTAACGATGTATTCAATAGTTTTAATAATTGTGTTAAAACGAATATACCTTATAATTTTGAAGTTACAATGACGTTCAACTTTCACGCCTGAGCGTATAAAAGTTTAAGTTAATTAATCGCTTAATTTTATTCGTCACTTTTTTATGAAAAATGAAATGAATTGCGAAGATGCCAATATATTGGCACGTGACTTCAAAGTCACACGAGCCTATAGAGAGGTAATATTATAACACATTATTAATATTTTATTATTATTATTATAATTATTATTACTTTTATTATTATTATTATTATTATTATTACTTTTATTATTAATATTTTATTTCATAAAAATAAATGTAGTCCGTATAATACATAAGTACCTTTAATTGTACGTGCTGTTTGTATTAACAAAACTTCTTCAGGTATATGAACAAGAAGGTAAGAAATATTTGCTTGGGTTTTTGGAAAGAAGTAGTTTGATATAAACTATTATTTCATGAATAAAAATGAATCATAGAAATGTATAGCTACTTAAGGGTACAAAATGGTATAAGAATTCTAATAATATTTAGTAATTATTTACTTACTTCTATGCCCCTTATCCAAAGTTGGATTTCTCCTCAGTTTTATTCTCCTTTTTGCGTTGGCCCATGGTACTGCAATGGAAAAACGATAGACATTTATTTCGTGTCGGGAATTAAGCAATGGTTAGAACAAACTGTATAAATCATTTCTATGTAAAATGAAAATTAAATTTTTTAAACCATAGAATAATGAAAGAAATTTCTGAACTTGTTATTTTACATACATTCTATAAAAATATATATTTTCATAAACATTTGTAAATTAATAATAAGTGATAAAAATATTATTGCATTTTCATCTGGTGTTTTTATGAAGCTTCAATCATTTCGGGTTTTAAATACAATTTGGAGACACCCTACATAGCGAAACATCTGTAAAACTTAAATATATATTCTATAATATAAAAATTTGTAATTAAATAACATGAAGGTGAATAGTTAACAAACATTTCATTATTGTTTACTTTAATGTATTTTATTATTAGTAAAATGCTAATTAAAGCGAAATCTACGTCATAGGCTTTTCCGAATCACTCATTCTTGAATTGACATGAAATATGCCATGTAAAAATCCTTTTATCTTCAATTTTCAGACCAAAATTCAAGCTTTCCGGGAAAGCTGTCAATGCGTTTTTCTATGATACCCTTCTCGGGGATCTACTTGTAAACTGATTAAATTTCATATCCCCCTAGATCCGCCGGAAATTGCATCGAAGATCACGTTTACTTTCCGAGAATTACGGTTTTTCATTTTCGGGTTTACTTTCGCAGACAGATCCCTCCGCATATAGAATTTCGTACATCCCAGAATTACAGTCCTAACAACATTTTTATGATCCAGGGAAAAACATTCTGTAAGCTCGCTATTTCTCGTATAAAACTTTCATTTCAAGGATAACAGATCATTTTTTTGAATGTCCTTACTAAATCTTCGTTGGGGTATATAAACCCCTATAAACATGAGTGATACGTTATTTAAAACGTTCTAACCTATTTCCTTAGAAATCGGTATGAATGACAGTGCTTGTACATTGTCATATCCACCATATTTTTAAGTATATTCTCTGCTCCTTACCGAAGCAATTTGTCATTCCATTGTTGACAATATTTAACGACAATAAGAAGAAATATTATTAAACTGAATTTTAATGCTATTTATATGAATAATCGTCAGTTATTTAAAGAGCTATATTTTTAATTTCAATAAAAATGTAGCTTCACATAAAAAATTGTATAATATTTAACAGGTAATACTTAAAAAGTAAAATATTATTTTTGATAATTAAATATAGTTTCGTACAAATAAGAAATTAAAAAAATTTTTATCAAATTTTCATGTAATCTTTCACATGCAATTATAGTAGTTATTTTTAATTCCCAAATTTTTTTATTAATATTTGCAAATTTCGAGGATATGTATTCCCATTATATTTTCAATCTCAGTTCACGCTCCGACTGAGGTTTTTGCAATTGCAGTAGAACTTCACTTCTGTCAATATTTATTCCCCCAGGTAAACATTTCTCATTAGCTTAGAAACAGATTTTTATAAAATCCTGCAAATTTTTTTCGTTCATTTCGTTTCTTCTCGCGGAATCTACTAATCCGATAAGTCGGAGACGTATTACTCTCTAGAGATGATAACAATTAAGCGATTTCTGAGAATCGCGTTTTCAAAAGGTACGGACCTAGTTCCTATTAAAAGAAAGGAGCTTAATGAGATATCGAACATTTATGGCATACTGGCAGACAATATCATTAATACCTCGTGGCACGAGGTATTTAAAACGCTTGCAAATATATTAAACTGTCAATTTCTAATTAAAGAGTTTCTAATTTATTAAGAGTAATTGAAGAGACAGAAAAAATACAAATCTGATACGCCGAAAATATAAATTTATTTATTCAACAACAATATCTATCAGGAAACAATAATAATCATAGTAAATATCATTATGAAATAGGAATGGGAATATAATAGATATGCTTAGTGTTAATATCTGTATAGACTTTATTGCAGATTGCAGTCATTTTCAGTTACTAATACATAGCGATTGTCAATTTCCTTATAAATCCATTTATTAGGCAATAGTATCTAGCATAAAACATTAATGAGCCTAGTAAATACCCCACGTTTAGTGCGAAACATTGCTCCCATTACATTTAACGATTTCCGATAGCATAGATATTTGTAGAATATTACATCAGTGGTTTCATTTATGATAACCCTCTTATATTCCAATATCCCAGTGGCTTCTTCAGCTGTTACGATATTATTAGGCGAAGTTGATGTTATCAGATAAGACGCCTCGGGCGTCGAAAACAATAAAAGTCTCGTAACCGAACTTCCGCGGTGTCGAATAATAGCCGGGGGTTTTAATGAAAGATTCTTCTCACAGATACTCACCCATATCATTGTCCGCGTGGTGGATAACGATCTTGATGCTTTCTCCGTCTATAAGGCTGCCTTGCCGTGCCAATTCGCGATCTTCAGCAGCAACTCTGTTCACGGCTGGAGTAGGTACCTTCCCTGATCCAGAAGCTGCAGATGCTAACGCTTTTATCGCGTTTATATCCGGTCTGAAATTGCAAGATTAAAAATTATGCTCTCTTTTAAGGTAATATCCCAGTAACAGAATGCGCTGAGTGTGCTCTGACTAATGGTACAATGGAGGGAAAACTGATTTTTATTAACCCTTAACGATCCGTTGACTCTGCTACAGAGACATTTGCAATTATGTAACGTGATTACGATAATATTCTTTTTATTCAAAAGTGGATTGCAAAATGTAAAAGTTTAAGTCTTACATTAAAATAACTTCTATTTATGGAATAAATAAAAAGTAAACGTCCATAAGCAGATGCCTATGTTTCTTAAAATTAAAGCTTCCATTTTCAAGCGTAGAGAACTGTCTGATGGACGATGGCATTGAAACAAATAACCGGAGCATTAGGGATTAAAAAGTAAGTTGAAAATAATGTACAGTAGACTCGTACAACGGTTGCTGGTATGTTCCACGCATTTGTAGAAAATTCAAGGTAGAATGTTCAATAATGCATAACAAATTCCTTGTTGCATCTTCGTTCTATTAACATCAACATAGTCTAATTCAATTAATAAATTAATCATTTGTCCAGTAACACAGAACGGATTAACAGTTATATAAGTTCGATAGTACAGCTGATAGTTTAACCTATTCACTGGCAGCTACAAAATATCTTTTAGTTTGCAGTACAAAGTTGGATTAACTGTTACTGTCCACGTACGATAATTTTAGGAAAACATAAATGAATAGTAATAAATAATAAATAATTACTTATAACAAATAAACAAATCATTTTGTTTCCTTCGAAATCAATTTTTGACACCCAAGGCAAGACGTTCTTAATCTTAATCCCTCCTGCTATATCAAGTCAGACAGAAATCTGATGATTGTAAGAATTCATGTTGTTGGAACTCGCGTTATACGAGAGTCTACTGCATATGATAATATATATTGAAAATAAAATAACATAGAGTTTTTTTCCAGATTTCCTTTTCGAGGAAATTGAGATTGAAAATTTGTCGAGCACACTTGCAATTTATTAATTGATGGCGAAATATGTTCAGACACGATTCCTCCGAAAAAGAGACTGCAAATAAGAGAATTGCGCTGGACACCTGTTTTTACTTATTTTCTCATGCAAAATAACCCTGTGTTGATTGGGCTGCCTATATATATATATGTATACACACATCCAAAAGTTAGCTAAATAAACGTATGCTTCACGAATATTCATGTATAAAATTTTCGAAAACAAAATCATAAATCAACAAATCTCGTCGAATATTTTTTACTTGTTTTTTCGTGTGGAATTAATACAAACAAAATTACTTGGTTCTGTTGACTTGATAATCACATTGGACTTTACCGTTAGGAAACAATAGTTAATACAAAACTAATGTAAAGGAATAATAACGTATAAGAGCAAGCTAATTAAAAATTTCATTCTCATATTGTTGATTCTTTGAATGAAAATTTTAATACAAACTATATTAGATTTAATAAATCTTCGATGAAAAATAATCGATACTTAAACCATTATAACTTCCTGAAAGAAAATCAAGAACAACGTACTCTGGGCTCGCTTTAAAGGGTGCAGCCTCTAATTTCACAGCTCTGTGAACCTAAGGTTATTCTGGAGCAAGCAGCGCATTTTTCATGTAAAGTGCAGTCAAAGGACAGCTAAAAATTATATATCAAGTTCTAAAGACTCGTTATAAAGAGAAGCGTTTGATCTTTAAATCCCTGATAACATTCCAAAAAATATAATAATGTGTTACACTTCGTAAAGATATTAATATTACAAATCCCTTTTCCACTGGCAAAGCGTTTTTATAAAAAATCAAAATAGAATTTAGAAAAAACACCTTCACCGTTTAAAATGGGTTCAGATAGGCTGTTGTGTAATTTATTTTCTGAAAGTGTAGCAGTTTAAATGTATTGACAATTTATCATTACAAAAATAATCATTCTATAAAAATTAATGTGTATCCCTTTAATTGCTGTTTTTGAAAATTAATTTTCACAGATTCGTCAGAGTACGAGTAATTAATATATTTTTAGAGCCAATTCATTTCAGTATATGTACTTATTATTTACAGCAAATGTAAACAGAATACATATTATGTCATACTAGCTACAAAGTATAAATGAATTCTCAAATGGTACTATTTAATCAACTATTTAAAATATATACCCATATAATTTTTATATAAATCTTAGAATCATAAACTACTTTCGTTGAAACAGATTTTGATTTTGTACCACTAGTTATTAATGCTTAATTACAGCAAATGCGACGTTCGAAATGGTGACAACAAGTTATAAATAACTTACTCACTGTGTTATAATTGGAACCCAGTCTCAAGTCTCTCTTTCTCTCTCTCTCTCTCACTCTCCCCACCCCCCTCTCTCTTTCTTTAATTAATTTTACGACAGAAATGTAATTATTGGAACCACAGAAACTTCTTTAGTAATTATTATAGTAAAATACATTCAGTAAAATTTGCATCCTGTTTACACAAAAATATAATTTAATATAATGAAAGTAATAGAACATTAATTATCATGTGACAAGGAAATGATAATATTAATATTTATAATCGTAACTTTTATGATGGTGAAATTGAAACAGACTAGTAATTTATTTGATTGTATATTCCATGCATTTATAGAAAATTCAAGGTAGAATATTTTATAATGCATAACAAATTATATATTGCATCTTCATCCTATTAACATCAACATAGATTAGGTAATCTAATCCAACCAATTAATTAATCATTTTTCTCAGTAACACAGAACGGATTAACAGTTACATAAGTTCGATAGTAGAACTCATAGTTTAATTCATTCTCTGCCAGGTACGAAATATCTCACAGTTCGCACTATAAATTTGGATTAACTGCTACTTTCCACAAACGACAATTTTATAAAAAAACATAATAATAAATAATAATCAATTATTTATAAAAAATAAAGAAAAAATTTTGTTTACTTTGAAATCAATGTTTGACACCCAAGGCAAGATGTTCTTAACCTTTTCTCTTACAATACCGAATTAGACAAGTGATGAAAATTTTTAACCGAATTCAACAAATCTATATTTTTCATATAAATGAAATATTTCTTGTTTATTTTTAACTGTCAGAATAAACGTAGACACAGAATAAGCGTCGAATTCTTTTTCTACTAGATTATTAACGATAAAGTAGATATCAAGCACAGTTGTGAAAGAAATCATATTACGAGGGATTAATTTCTTCGACAGCGAATGGGTTAACACCAAACGTACTGTTCAAATGACCGGTATTAAAATTTGATTTAAAATTCTACATTTTTGTTCTATCATTTCACCTTATATCAATTCTTATACTGACCGATTGATCGGTTTCTCAATTTTTCTCTTTTCTTTTGTTAATCTTTTCAATAAGAAAAATTGATCGTCTACATTGTTTATCTTTATTTTCAAACCAATTATTTGACTGGTTACGGTGGAAATAATGTGCCTGATAATAAAGTGCCGGTACGTTTAACGTTCGTTTAGGTTCGTTCTCGTTTATCCAACCGTAATACGTGGTTTCGTTCACTTAAATTTATCTCACTGCTAAAAGCGATAATTGCAAACGAGAGCCTTACTATTTCACTCCTCTCGTCGGAAGTGCCTTCGAATTAGCATAGAAAAAACACCCCGCCCTCGTTGTACACTCTCTTGTAATCCTAATTACTCTAGCTCCGGCTTAAGTACTTGAAACGATCTTCTTGGTCTAGAATGCTCAAGCCATGGTCAAGAAAATCGAGGTTCGTGCTCGAAAAGCGCTGAAGTAAGTGAAACACGGCGATTCGCGAGGCTTTTGCTTCGACCTACAAGCGTCGAAGAATCGATACAGAACACCTGAACCAGCGAGTAGGATGCAACTGTTTAAACTTTCAATTAGTTATGAAATAATTATAATTTTATATGTATCACTTTTAATAGAATACATTAATGAATGACACTTTTAATAAAATGCTATAATTGAAATTTCTATTCCATGATTTGTGTAAATAAGAAGTTTCTATTCTATTGAAAGTTGACCAAAATTTTAGGTAAACGAAGATATTTATTGTGCTTTAAAGAAATTGATACTGTGACAAACAAATATCTTGCAATTTTTTCACTGAACTTCTATTATATAAAAATTACAATGTCTGTTCTCTTCTACATTTTGATGACATTATTATTATATTATTCTAACTTTTATGTTAAATGCATAAGAGCTTGTTCAGAAATAAATGACTTTTCAGAAGCTTCTTTAATCGAATATAAAGTAACTGTTAACACTGGATTATTACAATATAGTTAAATTGTTAATGTATCAAAATTAACTGTTTCAATAGTCTCATGATTAAGTTACAGAAAAAACATAGTTTTCTTCCAAAATTGAAATTTTTGTCACATTGACAATCGTACTAAAAATTAAGAAATTCAAATATCAATTTTCAAGAGTCCAAAATTTTTATTCTATTTTCTGTACAAAACAAATCATAGTTCTATTAGTTTCATATTTTATTTCATAAATAAAAGTACGTTATTGCTTTATTTCTTAATTTTTACAGTAAAAATAAGTATGTTTTTTCATTTCAAAGTCTCATTTTTTTGTTCATTCACCCGTACAGACCACAGTCCTTATTTACTCACCGATCCGGACACCAAATCTCATGACAAGAAAAACTTTTCCTATAATCGAGGAAAAGGTGCATCAAGAAATACTTTCGGCGGAAGTTCCAATCGCTTCAATAAACTCTTTTAAAATGGACTTTCTGATATCCGGCCTCTAGAAACTCTAAATTGCTTCCTTTCAAAGACTCATCCGCCAACGATTTTGTTCTGCGCTTTAATAAGCAACTTCCAATTACAATGAACTTTTTTTGATTCATTGTGTCCACCGTAATTCTTTGAAGGGCCATTCAAACGGTAAAATCTTTCACTAATATTGTGCATGAATTTTGTATATACTGTAGGATATTTTCAAATTCAAAAACGTGTACTAAACG